CTCGCTGAAAGAAATTATTTGCCGAGCGTTTGCAAAAAATTGTATTGCTGCCCGCTGGCAGGATATGCGACAGTAAAGGAAGTACCGCCCGCTGAAGGTTTGGCCACTCCCCAAAATTCTGCTGACCGCCTGCAGAAAAGCGCGAGTTCCTGCCCTCCGGCGATTATCTGAGGATGTGTTATCGATGGTTTGATCACCCATACTTGAGGTATTTTCTCCCAGCGGAAGGTACCTACGGGCTGTGCGGTCCTCCAACAAAGGACCGCGCAGTCCCCAATAATGTTGCATATTCTCGAGGAAAGTCCGCGAGAATGCGGCCACTGCGGCAATTGATCTATAGAAAAACCGCGATTGTTCTCCGAGCATTCGTCTAAAAATTGGCCAACATTCTTCCAAGTTTCTGCAAGCGGAGCGCAATAAATTAGAGAACTATTTTTCCGGTGCCCGCTTGCCCAAAAATCGCATGGCCGCCAGCCCCAGCGATTTGTTACAATTCTTCATCTGAGTAGCAGAATTGTAACAAATCGCGCGGGGGCAGGCGGCTATGGAGAATAGTAGCAGATGAAGAATTGTAACAAAACACGATATTTTGACGAGGATTTCATGAAAATTGAAAATGGATAGAACATAAATCAAATAAAATAAATTATTAGTTTCATGTTTTATACAGCTTTCGAAAAAACCTAAGCGGACTCGGACCCGGCGCGCGCAACCCCGTTTGGAGCGCGCTCGGACAACTTCGCTTACCGTTCGGCGCGGAATTCCACGACCACTCTCCCGCATTGTGCATGCTATCCCGAGCAAAAATTACAAGCAACAGGGTCTTCGTGCCAGGGCCTCCCAACTTTATTTCTCGTCCGAGCTGCATAAACTGCTAAACTGCTATAAGCTGCTCTGAAAAAGTTCTTTTCACCCGTTTCAAAGCTCAAGTTCGGGGTTTACCGAAAAGGCCCAAAACAGGCAAAAAGATGGAAATGCAAAATCTGCCAGAACAATTGAAGTTTTGTGAGGAAAGGCTTGCTTTGTATGTTTTCTTGTTCTTGGTTTGTTGTAGTAAACTACAAATGACATTCTACCGCCCTTTTTCTAATCTTCCAATGGATTATGATGTGCCCATTTCCATGAGGTGTGAGTCCCCATACAACACCATTAATTATTTGTGCGAGAAACCTTACGTTGAAAAATTATCTACGGCTTAACCTAACAAGGGAATGGTTAGAAGTTAAAGTAACCAATCCAAACAAGCTGCCTATTATCGATGCAGCATAGTACGCGGAGCCATCTCATATCTGCAGAACGCCTTTGTAGGCGAAGTTATGAGAGCTTTACTGCGAAAAAGTCGTACACAAAAATTGCGTAATTAGGTACATTTTGCCCTTTTAACTCACCTCTAGCTACGGACCATATGAAGTGACTTATTTGCATGTTTCAGTTCAGCAGTGTGCCGAGAACGGCTCTGTACGGCCAAGATTGCCCTGTACTCGCACGATTACTTACGAAATTAATGGCATTTAATGCAGCTTACAATCTCATCTACAAAAACACTCTGCAGATAAGAAAGACAGATTTAGAGTCAGCATTTCATGCTGCATCTAATAATATGCGGCTTGCTTGGACTGGCACTTCAATTTCTGACCATTCCCTGGTAAGCACTACGAATCATTTTTACCCTCTTGCTAGCATATGTTACTTTCCTATCCGTGGCTTCTCCACCACAAAAAATGAACTTGATGTTATTCGTTGTAAAGGACACTTTTGAGCTTAAACGTTGGTAACCAACTGGCGACCGATGTTAGTCCAGACAGCGCATAGGAAGTGATCAAATCATGCAATCATTGACGCATCACTTCCTTCTGTGTATACCACCACAACAATCCTGGAGGCATACACAAATGGACACATTCTCTCGGGCTCACTAAGGGCTACTGCTTCTTCATTTCTCATGGTAAGGGGAAGCCAAATGACTTGATTTTCACACGCAAATCCGATGAGGTGCCGGCAAGTGCTTGGCATCTTCTGCCTTTGAAATTTACCCATTTGTCTACATGCCTATACATGCTGCAGATATTGAGTAATATGGATTTGTAAGGCTAGATATTTCTACGAAATACGACCAAGCGTCCGATGAAAGCGATGGCATTCTTGCTGGCTTATCTAATGATAATTTTAATAATTGAATATCGAAGTTTTTGTTCTTGTTCGTTTGTGTGTTTCGACATATCAAAAAATAAATGACTGGATATATAAGGATTATTCCCACAGGCAGCATTCTATCACTTTGTTACGACATTCTATGAGGTTCCTTTTCTGTGAAACTTGCTTTTTAAGTCTATTCCTTCAGAATCTCAATGTTTGCATAAAGCCAAAGATTCGCCGGCCTATAAGTACTCTTAAGGAGCTAATGGCCTTACAAAAATGCTGTCAGCTTGGTGAGTAGACCCCTAAAATAGTGTATACTAGATGGCTTACCCGGCTCCGCCCGGCCCTGTGAATAATATGTTTGTAATCAGCATGCTCGGTTACCCCCCTGTGCCAACTCTCAGCCCCGTAGCTTGAATTTTGCAATAAATCGATAAAATCGATATCAATCGATGACGAAAAGTAGCCTATGACACCCGCCGGGGCCCAAAGTGTATGTGTGCCAAGTTTGGTCCGGATCGGTTCTGAAAAAAAAATTTCTATTCGGAACTTACGTACACACATACATACAGACAGACATACAGACAGACAAACAGACATTCAACTTTATATATAGGATAGGTAAGAAGAAGAAGATTTCCGATAGTTATGGTAGCTCGCTACGGGATTACGTTGGTTGAAAAAAAAAGCCCACACCCTTGTCAACCCGTAAATCGTATTGATGCTGCTCCAACGAGAATCTTTCACTTTCCTTCTCATTAAGACATCTCTACTGGAGGAAGCTCACCGTAGCTTGGCTTTATAACGATCTCAACTAGCTATTTTTAAAAAAACTAAAAATACAGTCATTATTTTTTTGTGAAACGCCAGAAAATGGTTAGGCACTGGTACATCGAATCCTGTTTTTTTTTTTTGTCATGTATGTAGTACTTAATCCTGTAGTTAACCTACTTTTGCAGTCAACAAGTTTGATGAACAGATGCAATGATTTCTGACAGTAGCACTAAGGCGGGAAGTAAAAGACAGCTGATAGACAACTTACCTTAAGTTATAAGGCCACGTACAATGCTGATTCTCGTTTGATTGAGTAAATGGATGAACATTGGCACTTTTTCTTGTGAAGAAGCCTTTAGCGACATACTATACTTCATACCAATAATTATTCTTTTGAAGATATTGTTAGAAATCATGCTGCTTGAAGTCAAAGAGGAGTTTCGGTCCTTTCTGTTCGGCCATTAATGTGTTTCGTAAACTTCCACTGAATTTGATTGCTCCCTATTCTTCTCTACTCAAACTTTTTGAATATTCTGCCGGCTTTTACGCTGACTAACCTTTACAGCTTTTTATTTGGCCACTCCGTCCATACGAAGTCTTGATTATTTAGTTTCTTTTTAATATTGATTTTCGTTCTTCTAGATGGTCCACGAGCGTATTCCAGCCCGTGCAGCCGATGCTGCTATACTTGGGACTCCGCTAACATTCCGTAATGGTCGCAAAGCACGGAATCGTTTTCTGAAGGTAAGCTTAGTTCTTCGGGTGGCTAATTCTTACAGCAGCAATCCAATTGGAGCAATTATTATATTTTGCATCATATGACAGGTATCATTTTTGTATTTTGTTTTTATGAAAAACAGATAGTTTAGCTTGCACGCATTGATCTTTCTTATTTGTGTCCATTATTTATCCATCATTTAGAACGTTATCAAATAAATATTTCCTCATTTAAAAATTGGAATACATACAATGTCTAAGAAAATCCAACTCTTTTGAGCATTTAGTTCGAAATGGAGTTTTTTTCAGAGGCAAAACTAAGTCATTTTTGCAAATAAAAGTGCCAATGCAACTTTCAAATGTTCGCCTATCTCTGACAAAAAAACCCCTTTGAAATTCTTGAGTTTTTTTTTGTTTTCACTCGACTGTGCAATTCCTACAGAGCAGCCTTAAGAAAGCAAGATATAAAAAATTCATTAAGAAGTTTCCATAATGGAGTTCTAAGCATAGCCCTTGTAATTGTTTGGGTATATTAAATTCAAAGAAATGTTACAATACCATGCAGGGGCCGCGTGAACTCGTAAGTAATTAGATATTTTTTGCAGAAAAATATTCCACTCGGGAATAACTGCAAGGCAGCTTTGAATTCAATATTCCATTGTACTTTTCCATATATGCTTTCCAAAAGTCTTGAATATCCACTGGTTTTTCATAACTAAATTAAAAAGAAACAAAATCAGGAAGAGCTGAAAATTTGTCCGAGCTACTTGGATATATAGTAGTGCAATGGCACATATAGTAACGCAGTGCAGTTTTCCATTAACATTATGTGTGAAGAATGCGATTAGTAGATTTCAATCACAAACTTCTCTTGAGGCTTCGTTGACGGAGATGCTGAGTACTTGGGATGGTGAAGATCTGTCTAAAAGGGGCATACCAACACAAGATTTGATCAATGTCTACGACAAATGGGGCCAAGGGGGATTCGGCGTGATTCTAACAGGAAATGTGATGGTGGAACCGGTAATCTTTTTTATAGCTTTTCGTAGCTTACAAGAAATCATATCATTTTAGCGCAACCTGGAAAATGCCGGAAATCCGATCATATGTAGAGAAAACGACTCTCCAGAGTTACGGAAAGCGTTTGCTAGGTTAGCCGAAGTTGCGAAGCAGGATGGAGCGCTCATGATGGCTCAGCTTTCACATGTTTGTTACAGTCTTTTAAAACTAAATTTAAAAAATGGAAATTGGTGTTATAGGCCGGTCGACAAACTCCATTCACTGTGAACGAGCATCCATACTCAAGCTCGGATGTAAAGCTGAAGAGCAAAATCATAAATGGTGGTCAACCCATACCACTTGCTTTGGACCAAATAAAAACTGAAGTGATTGACCGTTTTGTTTTTGCTGCTAAGGTGGCTTATGAGACAGGTATGTATTTTTCACGATTATAAGAATCGTAATAATTTGCACTATTTTTAGGATTTGATGGCGTTGAGCTGCACGCGGCTCATGGTTATCTCCTCTCACAATTCATGTCACCTACAGCTAATCAAAGAACAGACAGATATGGTGGATCGTTGGAAAATAGATTCCGAATTATCGCAGAAATTTATCGAGCTATCAGGTTAGCGTTTGAAAAAAAAACTATCGTATTTGCTCTGTTTACTCAATGTTCCGTAGCGGGTTTTAGAAGATGGAAAATTCGAAATCATTGCATCGACCTTATTTGCAGAGACAAATGATGATTTTAGAAAAGAGATACCTCCAACTACTGGCTTTATTGTCGGCATCAAAACGAACTCAGTCGAATTTCAAGCAAATGGTCTAACCATCGAGGATGCAAAGGAGGCTTGTTCCATGATTGAGGTTGTACATCTTTGTTGCAAAATATCTAGACTATCAGCTTGAAAGGGTCTTTTGAATTATTAGGTCGTTCTGAAAGTAATATCGCTTTTTTCAAATGGCCACATTTTGCTGAAAGAAAATTTCTGAGGGATCTTGGCAGCATCCGATGCAGTATTTCATTCTCTTCCTAAGGGTTAGAAACTCATTGCAGCATGATCAATGAGCTCTAGGAAAGTTTTCTAAATGTGCGACCCATGGATATGCCATGGTCATGTTTCGCTATTTTTTAAATTTACTTGCTATCTTGAAAAAATTCTCAACACCACCGAATTCTAGCAGCTCTGTCTCATATGCGAACACTTTAAACGCCAGAGAATGATTCAAATTTGAAACTTCGAGAAGTTTAACACTAATCAAACCAAGCAAATGAGCGTTCACGGACTCAAAAAATCGAATCTCGAATTTCCTAACCACAACCCGGAACAAGTTGAAAAATGAGTTATAATAATATCTCCTCGAATAATTTACAAAAATACGAAAATACTGGCTAGGAAGAGGAGAACAAGCTGCATCGAATGACAGAGTTGTTTGATTGATATATATTTTGAGGTTTGGGTTGATCAAATATGAAATTTAATAGAAGCAAAAAATAATAATTTCAAATAATTTCAGAAGCAAGCTTTAGAAGGGAAAAACGTTGCTTTATCCTGTAGGGCTTGCTTATTCTGGTTATATTCCGATAGCTTATTGAGTGTGCTACAATGACCATTAGAAAGAGGATACATGCTGCATCAAATGCTAAAATCTCTTAAAAATCTTTGTTGCGCGAAATCTGGATCCATTTGAAAAGAGCGAAATTACTTTCGAAGACCTAAACATTATGGTCCACTTGCATCCTAACTCCCTTCCTGTGGCTGAACATCTCGGGAATGATTATCTAAACACAAATAGTGGGATACGTTATCATTAATTCTAACCTTATCAATTGAGTAGGTAGTCCAAAAAGCTTTCGAAAGGCTTTGACACTAACTCTTATTCCTAGTCCTCCAAGAATTGTTGAAACGCTAATATGCATGTTTATCTACCATAGCCACAACACAAGACCTTAGGGCTACAGCACACCAGCCATGTCCAAGATTCCTAACCCTTTTTCAATCTTGGTTTCCCTGTCCTTCCTCTTATCTGTTTCACACTCCCTTCTTGGGTCCCGAGAGGCTAAGTCGCGTTCACTAAAGCCATGTCACTGATAAAATTTATCACACTGAACTGACAGGATATTTGTGATTAGTAAATCAGGTGGACTAAACCCCGCCAGTTTAGTGTGTTGAACTCCTTCTACGTCGGGTTTTCATTCCTACTTTGAATTTTTGGTCTTCAACGATGAGTAATATTGCTACGCAAATTAAAACGCCTGCGTTATTTTTGAGTCGAAATACGAAGTACCCTCCTAGTTTGTTTGTCCACAGATTAACCATGCGAAAGTAATCAAATCATTGCATCAATGATCAAATCAGCAGCATTCGAGTCTCCAAAACAGAGGGCACCAAAAAAATTTTTGTTCAACTAAGGGACAAAGATCTAGATTTTAAAAGTTATTTGAAAGATAGGTTTAAAAAGATGTTTGAGATTGTCTACTCCTGTTCAGAAATGCGGATTTGACTTTGTTGAACTTTCTGGTGGAACCATGGAGAAAATCGCGTTCCATCATCGTCGGGAATCCACCAAAAAACGTGAAGCTTTCTTTTTGGAGTTTGCAGAGAATGTAAGCAATAAGTTTTACTTTCAAAAATTGTAGAAGAAGGAAAGGATGTTTCCTAGATCCGGCCAGTTTTCAAAGATACTGTCATCTACGTTACTGGTGGATTCCGTACAGCTGAAGGAATGGTGAATGCCGTGAAGAGTGGTGACACGGACGGTATAGGGTTGGGAAGACCCATTACTGCTGAACCAGGTGGGTGTCAGTGGAAAAACAAAATCCCCTCGCCTGTTTTTTTTTGAAAAAGTGATAAAAATTTCTGCTTTGTAATGAAACCACAGAAAATGAAGTGGAGATTTTCTTTATTTATTGCAGTTACACCAGCTTTTAAGTTACAGATCTCCCACTGAAAATTCTCAATGGAGAATGCTGGTCAGCTCCAGATACCAAAGTGGATCAAGATGACTTTAAGATGACTTTCTATGTCAGCTCGGCGCAAATGGGTGAAATGTCCAAGTTACCAACGCGTGTTCTGGATAAGTGAGTTTAACTAGGTTTTATGAACATTGACATCGTTTTGCTTGTAAATATGATATTTTGGTTTCTTGAAGATCTTGAAGAAAAAAAAAACGGCTTGCGGCGATTCTCTGTCTCGACGTATTCAATAACGGAAATTCTCGCTATGCTATTACTTTTTTTGAAGGTAGCCTTTGATACGCAGGTAGCGGGTTGCCGGCGGTCCCGCAAAGGATAGCAAAAATCAAAAATCACTAGTTTGTCTTATAAGTCTTGGACCAGAAAATGCCAAAAATTATTCTAAGTAATGCTTGAGACAGTGTTTCGATATATTAGGTCGTTCCGAAAGTAATGTCGCTTTTTTCGAATAAACGTCACTATTCGTGGAATCAACATTTTCAAGAGATCTTAGGAGCATTCGATGCAGCATTTCATCCTCTTTCTAAATGTTGTAATTTCACTGCATAATGTTCAATGAGCTTTCGAAAAATTACTAAAATCTGCGACCCATGCTTTTTGCCATGGTCAAGTTCGGCAATTTTTCTAAATTTTTGTACCTATTCTCCGAAGAAGTACAATTGGCATGTAGATAGAGCAGACCCTATAGGACACACCTAATTTTTTTCTTTTCCTTAGCTTGCTTCTTATACTTTTTAGAACCAATTTTTCAATGCCATCAAATTCCATATTTGGTCAAGTCAAACCTCACAGAGCAACAACCGGCAAGCGACTCGGGTTTCATTCGATGCAGCTTTTTCTCCTCTTTCAGCGGTCGTTTTTTGTTTACGATTCATCAAGTTTTCCGGGATAAAATCATCATAATTCGACTTTTCCAAGGCACCCCCAAGGTGTACCCGAAATTTTCGAAAGTGGCTAAACCAAAGCGGTGAATGCTTGTTTGGTTTGTAAAATTGTTGCCAAACCAAAATCCATCTTTGTAAACTTCAAAATCCGGAGACTTGTTGGCGTTTGATGCACTTGTGTCCGAGACGAGCCTGCTAAAATTCGGTGGTTCCATCAAAAAGTCTGTATAAAAATTATAACGAGCTCTGGAAAGTAGAAAAAAGTTGTCCTGTTTCCTGTAGGGTTTTCATCCATCCATTACTTGGACTCCTTCTGAGGTTTGTTAAAAAATTTTAGAAAAATTGTGAAACTTGGCCATCTTAAAAAGCATAGGTCGCAGATTTTGACTCTTTTTTGGAAGCTCATTAACTGCTTTGCAACAGCTTCATAACCATTAGAAAGAGAATGAAATGCTGCATCAAACGCTACCAAAACCTCTTACACATCTTTGTTCCTCGAGATGTGGCATGCGTTTGAAAAAAGCGACATTACCTTCGGAACGACCTAATATTAGGTCGTTCCGAAAGTTCTTTCCGTTTTTCTAACCTATGACAAAAATACGTGGATTGAAGTTAGGAAAACGCTTTAGGCACTATCCGACGCAGCGTTTCTTCCTCTTTCTAGCAGTCATATTCCCATGTCGCTTACTCTTGTGATCACTGAGATAATTGCCGAAATTTTGAACACATGGTTTTTACCATGTCCAAATTTGGCAATTTTTCACAATCTTCGTTTCTAACTTTCGGAGAAGCTTTGATAACAGTCAAATAGAGTAAACAATGTGCAATGCAATACATTTTTTGGCAAACCCAGCTGGCTTTTCAGCGTTTCTTGAGATGTTTTTTTCAAAAGTCTTCACTTTTGCAAAGTCCCAAAATACAGAAACGCCCCGAACACTGGCAAGTATACGGAATTTGAAGCTTTTTATAGTCAGTTACGATTTTTTAATTTCAATTAGTTACAATTTTTACAAAGCAACTGAGCGTTTACCTCTTGTAAATATAAGGTTTCGCATTTAATGTGTACAGGCTGGGGCGGGTTCAAAATTTAGAATTACGGAAACTTTATCGCCAAAGACCCCGCAAATTGGAAAGAAAGTACATTCATTAGAAAGAGAAGGAAAAGCTGCATCGAATGACACCTTATGTAGTTGTGCGCCGTCTTATGTTCAATGGCTCTTGGCGTTCCCAAAAGTGGAATTTGATAGAATCAGAAAAATAATTCTGAAAATTTTTTTAGGCTAGCTATGGACGGCGAAAAATTGTATTAAATTGCACTTTGTTTGCTCTACCTGACTGCTATCAAAGCTTTCGTAAAAGTCAAAAACGAAGATTGTGAAAAATTGCCAAATTTGGACATGGTAAAAACCATGGGTGCGCAATTTCGGCCATTATCTCACTGACCACAAGAGCAAACGGCATAGAAATATGATATTGAAAAGAAGAATAAAAGCTGCGTCGAATAGTGCCTAAAGCATTCCTCTACCTTCTTTCCACGTGTTTTTGTGATAGGTTGAAAAAAGGAAAAGAACGTGCTAAACTGCCCAATAAAATTCGATTTTATTTTTGACTATGGTTTGACTATGACTTTCGGAACGACCTAATATATCATAAATTTTTCATCATATAAAGCTCTATCAACATGATGGAGATTTTGATTTCAAGAACATCGTCATGTCGAGTCAGAAATTTCCAGTATTGCCTAGACGATACAAATTTTCCGTTGTCCATGTCTAGGTTGGAAAACCATAGTCAAAAATAAAATCGAATTTTATTGGGCCGTTTAGCACGTTTGAATATACAGAAGATATGATCTAACTTAATCTCGATCAGTTTATCGCCGTGACATGACAGTACTGAGTTTCGCTCAAAGTGCGGTTAAAAATCGTAGGATTTTCTCTTTCTGTTCTTTATTGAATTGTGCGAATTTGTTGTAACTAGAAGGAATTACCGTATTCCAAAAACTGGAGTGGGACTTGTAAACCTAGTACATTCCCTTTGTTGCGACATAACCTTGAAAAAAAACCATCGCAAAGTCACAGATTTTCTGAGCAGAGAATTAGGGGAACAGCTAATTGGGAACGTTTTTTGAATGATAATGTAAAGATACTGTTGTGAACATTTCTGGAATAACCACCTCCACTAATCCTTCAGATCTGACTTCTCAACCTCAAAAACTTCAATTTCAGTGTCTGTGACGGAATCGCCGATCTCAGCATACCGGATGAGGCAAACAACTTCCAGAAATATATCACAGAAACATACGTTGAAGATGTAAAGAAACTTCTTGAGAAGAAGACTCCAGTACACGGAGCGGTTCCGTACAAGCCCATTTGTGTCAACTAAGCCTCATTTACCTCGACTGTAAAGACGAAATAAATAGACGTTTATCTTAATGTGCTTGTATTACTATATGAGCTCGTAGTAAACTAATCTCATGTAAAAAAATGTTAATAAACGATGTACCCGAATTCTTCGACATATGTACATTAATGACCAGGAAAGGTTGGTGCTTAACCAAATTTATACATTTCTGTTAGGGTAAGCGATCAGCGGTCTTATTTGCAGCTTTTGCCTGGTACTGATATATCGAGCCTTGCTTGATTATAGTAAAAAATGCAAATAATACGTTTATTTATTGATTCCATACCCGCACAACAATTCTGTATATACCCATGGAGCGAGATATCACAACTTGTTATCACGATAAGTAAAACATATCAAAAGAAAATCAGAACATGGAATAAACAACCACTGTCTCCTCTGTTTCAACGCAATATTTTATGCCATGCTCAAGATATGATCAATTTTGTAAACTTTGAGTAGGCTCAAAATTGTAATGTCATCTTTCATGAGAAGGCCAAAGCTCAAGTTTCTCATGCTATTGTTTTTTTTTTGCTCTTCTATCGCAAAATAATCGTCGTGATTAAGAGAAAAATGGATGAAATGAGTATGTGAGTGGAGATTACTGTAGGTTGAATGGGTCCTCATAAAATCGTTAATTACTGAGTCGAAGCTTCTTCAGAAATATTTCTAATACGGTCTTCATACAAATTCGGGATTGGTAAATATGACGTGTTCGCCGGAGATTTTCCTCACATAGTCACGATAAGCTCGCACTGTCCTCAGACTCCAGTACCAAAAACTGAGCAAAACAAGGAAGATGACGAGCAGATATATGTGATCTATTCGCGTCTTATCCGGAATGGAGTAAATCGTCGAGCCGAGGAAGAAGCCGGCTCCAAATAGGCTGGAAATAAGCTGAGTTAGAAAAGAGATCATAAGGAGCTTGTTTCTTCAACGTTTTTCATGTAACACCGATAAAACTGTTTACTGTAAATGGTAAACTTGTGAAGAGTCACAGACTCGAAATCCGATGCTGGATCGTAAATAGAATTGCTGTCTACAGAGATTTCGCTTGAAGGTATTACGCTATTATTACGGTAATTATACCGTGCATCTGACTCCCACAGCATACTACAAAATCTTCAAATGGGTTCCAGACTTCTACGAAGAAACTTTCGGACAAATGAATTTGCAAAACTATTCACGATACTGGAACGTGGTTTCAAAAAGGCCAAATAACCATATGAAGTCTTTGCTTCATTTTCAGCTAGCGAAAATTTGGGTATTTCTACACTACAGAAAACTGCGGAGACTGTACTCGATAATAATGTCGCAAATGTGTTAAAACCAATCTAAGAGTCGCTAGAAATTCGCAATCATTTTCCTTTTTCCGGAAGAAGAACTCGTAATTTTGGATTTGCTCCGCGCGTCAAATATGAGCAAATAATTTATGAGCCTTTCACAGAGAAATTTAGATTGAAGAATATAAATGTACCTGACACCAGTATAAATAGTCGAACAGACGATATAGGGGAAGAACAAAGACGACCTATGCTGGACAGTGCCTACCAAAAGGCAATAAACTATCCCGGAATTGAGCATAAAAGCTAATAGAAGGCCACCTGCAAAAAAAATTGCGTTGCTTTAAAATTTGCTCTTCTTGTTCTTTCTTACTGAAACTTACTTATATAAAGAGCATTGTGTACGGGTGTTTGTTGCTGGAAGTCCCATGAGGCACAAGCTAGTACTGTGGAGACAATGGAGATGCTAAGAAATATACCACAGATCAATTTTACCCTGCTGGCTAGGTCCATTCTGGAATGTGTTTCTTTTGAAGAGGTAGACATGAGTGCTAACGATAACGGTAGACATCGATATACGACCTTGATAATAAGTAGGATAGAAACGAAGAATCACGAGAATGACGAGGAGGAATTCTTTCATAATTCTGTTTACAGAATAGTCCGCCTAAGCTTACGCCCTCCCGTAAATAATTGAGAGAAGTTTATCCGGATCAATGCTGGTTACCATTATCGTGTCACCTAAAGTACTTAGAATACCTAAAAATAAGGATGATACGATTGAAAGTATCTCTGCCATTATCAGTCTTTGAGCCGTAAACATTTTGGTAGCTGCGAAATGTCTTGATTTTTGTGCAAATACAAAATTTTTGCTCTAGATGTCACCATGAATATGAGATGTACATTCTTAACTTTCTCTAATTAACGAGGGATAATTCTAGAATTTATGCGTCGGCTGACCAAATAAGCAGAATACAGCTGAACTTTTGACTGAGATCTCCTATGATTTTCGGCCCGCAATCAGCATACTTTCTGTGCTTCTGGTAAATTTTCGTTTCTGATAAGGTTGATGCCACAGTTAGTGTGATATATCAAGATTAATTTTTATCTGATAACTCCCAACTGATTAACATTTCGTACCTTGCGGGAACGTCTAAAGGCTGAGTTTGTACTGTGAGTAATTGCGAGTTGAGTAGTTAAAGTCAGCCTTTCGAGAATATTCTTACAAGGGAAGTCACTTAACTTAGGTCGGGCTTTTGAAATGAGACACATATGGTTGGAATCAGCTTGAAACGCTAATTTAAAATCTGCTTTCCTTAACTGCGAAGCGTTCCTCTGAAGCGAGTTATGAGCTTTTTCCTGAGCAAATTTTGCGTGCTGACCGACTTAGGCATGCTACGGTACCATCATCTAGGTAGTGGTTCAAATGCATATTATACTCTATCTAAGCCAAATGACTCAATTTTATGTTATTTTGATTTTCCACCACTTTTTGGGCAGATTTTCATCTAAAAACGTTCTTTCCTTATTCAGTTGTATGTCAATGGCACATATTAAAAAAATTCGTAACTCGCTTCAGAAAAACGCTTCGCAGCTAAGGATAGCATATTTGGAATCAGCGTTCCGAGCTGATGTTAAATATATGTGCCTCATTTCAAAAGCCCGACCTAAGTTAAGTGACTTCCCTTGTTAGGAACTTTTGAAATCAGAAAGAAATTCTAGAGAAACATATTTTTGGAATTGTCAATACGTAATTACTCAGTATTATGAGGGTTTCAAGTAAAAACAGTGTCCTTACCAAAAATACCTAACAGTCAAATTAGCGATACTTGGGGGAGGAGCGGTAGGTCAATAAAAGTTCTAGGAGCGGTTGCATGATAGACAAAGTATTTGAAAATCGCAAACTATTATGGCAGTCCTTGGGCATAGCGAGATAGTTTGACGAAGCATATCAATCAAACTGCTAATTTCATCGTTTTATGTTGTTAAAAGCAAGGATTACGAAAAGGTAAATGTATTCAGTGCAGTGGCACTAAAAACGGTTCAGTTTCGGACCAATTCATTATATCTCGGAAATGGCTCGGCTTCGAATATTCCTCGGCCTGACAGCATACTGTTCTCAGTCAGAATTTTGAACAACAGAGAGCTTGCGGATCCACAGATGCACGATACATAATCAAGTATCAGCTCAGCAAATGACATTTCCAAACCGTGGAAACAAAATTAGGTTGAAAATTCTCAAATTCTTCGCCTTCCACAAAGTTTGGTTTTCAAATCTCAAGCTTGGTGACTATGATGATGATGTCGTTTCTATGATGATTTTGAGAAAAAAATTCTGTACAGGACACCGAAAAGTACGACTGTTCAAGGCTTTGGCCTTACACAACAGCAAATCAAGAGCAAAAGCTCACTAGAAGAGAATTTAATTACTCAACCTCACGTTTTGATGTCTTTCATCAGTGGACAAAATTTTCTTCGATTAAACAAGCTACTTCCGCGGAAACTTATCACTAGAAGAAAGTCAATATCAATGCGCTGGTGAACGATGAAAATAAAGTTTTGCGACTGAGTTTTGGTCAATTAGGTAAAGAATGCTTTAGGATGGAAACGTTTGTTTTTTGACAATAACTCTAACATTTCTTTATCTGTTGCAATGATTATCTCAGCCATTACCTCAACGAGTAAATTCCGCGATGACAATCAAAAAGCATATTTTTCTTTTGTATAGGTGCTCGATGATCAACTGCATCCATATAAACGATTCCAGCTCATTGAAAAATTTTACTCAAGTAATATGCATTGGGTAGCACAGATAAGCGACAAGAATTCAAGTAAACAGCCATGCCGTAACAAATTCTCGCTGGTGGGAGTTTTGAGAGGATTATTCGGTTCTCACCGCTTTAGCGTAAACAGTTTCAATGCGTGAGAATGACGGACGTCGCGAGCTATCAAGATCTCGTGGCAGGTAATTGTATTAAGCCAAAAACGATACGGGAACGGGTTTTTCAAGCTTTTACAGAAGAATATAAGCTTAGCTTGAAAAGACACCCCACCAGGGAGTTTGAAATCCGCCATGATGGGTAAAATGTGAGCGAAAACAGTGGGAAAAAACGCAGAAATTGCGCGAGCCGCGTACACTCCCGCGCCGCGGTATGGAAACGACGCTTTGAGCATGTAAACTCAAAGGCAGCGTCCACCCAAATCTTTCGCTTCCATGTTTTTGTTATTCCGTAGCCTTTCCGTGCTTTAGTCCCAGATATGAAGTGCAAAATATGCGAATCCCCTGAAAAAGTCGTTTTTTGGGAACTTATTCTGGAGGCGTGGACGACTGCCAGTGCCTGGACGGGCGGAGCCTGATAGTGAGGCGTGGCTTGATAGCACTTTCGCTGAATTCAGGTCCATTTTCTTCTTTTATATGCGGCGCTAGACCAGACCAACTTACTTGCCTCATTCCTATGGCCTGCTTGTAGATTAGACTAATCGGGGAAGCATAGCTTCAACCTGGACGCTGCCATCGAACGAGACGCAAGCGTAGGTAGTGCATAACCCTTCATAGTGCGTAAGTTAATCTTCATATTTTTTGCAGGAGCAAGAGCAAGGGCTCTACAGTAAGAAGCGCAAGCAAAATTGCGCATGCCCAATAGAACACACCCTTCGCTTTGGCCATTAGGCAGTTAGTTCCTTTAAAAAAATAGAAAATTCGGCCCCCTTATAAACAAGGCCCTGTCCATCGATTCTTTGCCCTCCGCAATAACCTTTCGGAATTATTTAAGATGTGTAGGAACCAATGAACTGGCTGTCGCCTCGCATGAACAAAGCAGACATATATGCGACCCTTTTCTGATACAAGTCGCTAAATTATCATTACTGCACAGCAGTTTCATTCTCTTCTAAGGCGCGCAGTGTTACAATACCGTTGACCGCAACGCATGGCGTTCGCGCACGCTCATCTTATTTGGACAACGCCTTCCTGCAGGTGGCAATATATGAAAGAGTCGCACCGCACAATTTGTTGATTAGCTGCAATCACTACTCTAAAAGAATCAAAGTTGACGAGATAAGTAGTTCCATTAATTTGAATTACCACGAAATTTTTTTGAATTACTGCAAAATCTTTTCCTTTTTATGCTTTAACAGCTTTGAGCATTATCTTGGGAGAAAAATGATTATCCGTAAACGAAAAAAGGGGCATTTACGGAAGAAGCCGAGCTGTGATGGCGCAAGGCAGGAATACGTTTTTGTTGGGTTCAATGCTTTAGAAATTACACTCAACAAAAGAAGACTTCTTGTATTATATTTGCATAACTGAAATTTTGGTATATGACATTCTGACCAAATGCGTTTTTAGATATCTGGATTTGAAGAAAAGGAACTCTGATGCAATGACTGAAAGTAACAAAGAAAGGTAACCAATTGACTTTACTGCCGCTGCAAGACTAGTTTTGTGTACATGACCTTGATTATCAGCGCTTGTACATCTCGTCATTCGAAATTAGCAGCAAACAAGCTGACCAGACGTTGACATCAAACTGGCATTCATAACTATTGCACAGATATAGACGGTATGAAAAAAAAAGCGATGCACTTTGAGACTAAAATGAGCACTGAAAGTTGAACGTCAGCAGGATGTCATTTTGTGTAAGCAAGTCATAAAGTCACAAGCAAAAAGTCAAATAAGTCTGGGCCAATAGCGTTAATATGAGCTGCAAATCATTTGGACATTTTGCTTCTGGTAAAATTGTTTACAACGATGAGGGATAAAACTTTTTCCAAAATCTTCACAGCACGGGTGACTCCAGATGATGATGATGATCATCGTGTTTTATTCATCCACTTCACTAGCTGCTCTTTTGTTGGACAAATTGTGGGTACTAAAATTTCAGCAGAAATCCCAGAATCTCAAGATCGGTGATTTGATGGCAGCTGACGACTTTATTGCTGTTAAATTAGTTGATCCCAGAAATTATCTCTCCATCTCACGCTAAATTGTAGGTGAAGTGAATGATTGCGGGCATAGCAATTCTTTCGCGGTAAAAACCTTTTTTCACCCTTACTTCGTCAAAAAATCCTTACTTACTATTACAAAGACTGCAGCTTGATGAAATTGCTTATGAGACTCCAGAAATCAAATTTAAGTGGACCTATAGTTTGACACGTTTCCTCATTTTTGAGCGGGACGGAATGCAAGTATCGATGCTTGCGGATAAAGATTATGTTGACCAATTTGTTTTGAGTGAATCCCCTAGTAGCAAGCTGTTTGTTATCGCTTATATTGAAAAATAAAAGCAGGATTTCTCGGTGGCTTCGAACTGTAACAACATAGAATGCCATGATAAAGTCAAAAACTATAATATCAGAGCCTTTACATAGCTCTTTTACAAAAAAAATACAGTAGAATTAGTTTACAATCGCGATTCCTCGCATAATGGCAAAAATAATTATAACCAATGTTATGTTCACAGGCACTGTTGAAATGCACTTTAGGGCTAGAGATACATCCTTCAAGATGGAAA